TGTATCAAGGGGAACACTTTCGTCCCATTGAATACCTTCTTTTTCCACATAGTTTGCATTAAGAGTTTAATTCGAACAGTAAATGGAATTCATAAATTCCTAAGGGAATCAAACAGCATGCCACATGCTGCTAAAATGATGTGTTTAGTTACTTTGAGAAATTTTGTATCTTCTCAAACTGAGATACATCTATTTTCAAAATTATCATTGACATTGTCCTAGATAAGGCCTAAAACTTTCAACGGTACCAAAGAGTCTTCAGATGTTTCACGAGAGTCAACTTCATTAAGTTTCCATAGTTCATTCAGCTCAGGTGAGTTTGAAACCCATCTACGTAAATTCATACTGGCCTCGCTAAGAATGAAAATCATGTCCTTGCTTGACATGTAAGGAGGACAAGCAAGGACATGTAAGGCCTTTGCTACATTAACTGTCCCAGAAATTAAATCATCTACGTAAATCTCTTTTAACATACTGCATGCCTCTTCGTAGGCATCTTCATACTTTTTTAAATGCAGTCTTACTGTAACTGTTAATAAATAAGGTGAGCACTTGACCCCGAAAGGAACTCGATTGTGTTGAAGAACTTGTAAGTTGGAATTACTGTGATCGAGATTTGACCCTTCTTCATTTATCCACAAAAACTTTAAAAAATCCCTATCTTCTTTAGCTAAGCCTACCTCTAAAAATGCACGCTGAATGTCGGCACAAAACGCAATTGAATGTACCCTGAATTTAATGATAATCTTTAGCAAATCAGGATTTAAATTAGGTCCGCTTTCCAAACAATCATTAAGTGATAAATTTCCCTTACTTTTAGAAGAAGCGTCAAAAACTATTTCGAACCTTTGTAGAATCCTTCTGCTCGCGCACTACCGCGTGATGAGGCATGTAATACCCCCCCGTTTTCAAACTACTTTAAATACGTATCTACCCATTCCACTATACCATCTCTCAAGTGTTTCATTAATTATCTCATTATATTTAAATATAGCTCGCTATTTTTCTGAAACTTATTATTTAAAAATTGTAAACGCTGTTTCGCGATTTCATAATTGTTATTTAAACCTTCAACACCCTCTTTCCACAATAATCGAGTTTCATACCTTTTATTCTTGTAAGTTGTATTTCGTTCAAATGACTCTAAAATTTCTTTATCTGATAGAGATATTTCTTTATCTGAACTTATCCCAATTGCTTCTAATTCCCATAATTTTTTAACTCTTTCATAATCTAAGTCCTCATTTACAACGGTTATATGATTAACTCTTGCGTCCTTACAATTTGATCCTTCGTCCTTGCCTTGAATCACAAAACCGAAAGTGCTTTCTGTTGCGACTAATTTTTTACAAATCTTCACATTTCGTTCTCCTAAAATTTCCCAAATATAATCCGAACCTATTAATACTTGAATTTCGTCACTCGTACCAGCATCTGCTAATTCTATTCTTCTCAAACGCTATCTGTCGTATCCACCGAGAAGGAACTTTTACGAGGGCCATCCAGGAAGTAGATTACGTTTCCATCTGTGTCCGCTAGGGGCGGGGCTAGCGCGGCCATCTTGGGGTCAGAGCGTTGCGCAGCTCAGTCTGCATCTAGCCGTGCTAGTGAGAGGTTCGTGCTGTGCTCCGTTCAGATACTGTGACGGTTTGAAATGTCTGCGTTAATTGAAAATCCCGCGAGCTGAGACGTGCGCTCAGTAATAAGGTTTCTGACTGCAAAAAACTGTAAACCGATAGAAATCTATCGGCAGCTTCGTGAAGTGTATGGGGACAACATTATCACTGAAGATGGAGTGCGTCAGTGGGTCATAAGATTTCAAAATGGCCGAACCAATGTTCACGACGAAGATCGAAGTGGGAGACCCAGCATAGTGACCGCCGAACTTCTCGAAAAAGTCGATGCTAAAGTCCGTGAAAATCGAAATTTCACAATAACGGAACTTTCTTTGAGTTTTCCACAAATTTCGCGAAGTTTGTTGCACGAAATCATCAGCAAAAAGCTTGGTTACCACAAGTTTTGTGCAAGATGGATTCCAAAAATCTTGACAGAGGACCACAAAAATCAGCGAATGGCTGCAGCGTTGAACTTTTTGGACGCTTACCATAAGGATGGTGACTCTTTACTCGATCGCATCGTTACTGGTGACGAAACATGGGTGAAACATGTGAACTGTGAAACGAAATTGCAATCAATGCAGTGGGGGCACACAAGTTCTCCCCAAAAACCCAAGAAATGCATGCAAACAATGTCGGCAAGGCGCAGGCGGCCGAATTTTTCGACGAAGGAATTTCCAAGCTCGTACATCGCTACGATAAATGCCTTAATTTGTATGGTGACTATGTAGAAAAGTAGTATTTGAGTGTGGCTTTCATCTGTATATAATAAAATTTGTTTCCTATACTTTGTTTATTTTTTTATTCCAAAACGTAATCTACTTTCTGGATAGCCCTCGTACTTGCCCTAGTGTTATAGAATCAATGACTATTGCGTTAATTTTTATCTTTTTATTGGGATGGTTTACATTTTGCAGTACGATTTCTACGATGTCATACAAGCGCTCTTTTGCATCTTTGCATCCAAATGTGAAAATGATAAGCGCTTCTTTATTAATAATTTTCAACCCCAGTGAATCAACCACTTCTCGTAAGATGAATGACTTTGTTGACCCTGAATCTAGCATACAACGTAATACATTTTCGTTCCCCCCTTTACACCTAACTGCTGCCGAAAACGTCTGTAAAAGAACGGAAGTCGGTAGTGTAATTTTGTTATTATTTTCATTACATAAGAGCGAAAGAGAAGCTTCAGGGATTGGCGTTTGTTTTGTCTGATTGGAAGTATCCGTCTCTAAACCTTTGGATGCGGCGTCACATATTAACGAATTATGTAAACCTTGGACATTGCACAGTCTGCATTTTTCATCTTTATGAGCACAGAAACGCCTTGGATGCCCTTTCGAAAAGCAAATAAAACATAAACCTCGATCCATTAATGCCTTTCGGCGAGCCTTTAAATCAAGTGCGCAATCATGATTCATATGACAAGCAGATAAACAAAATATGCACACATTTTGATTCTCTTTCTTAGGCGGGGTAGAGAACTTTCGCTTTGGATTAAAATGTGATTTTTGAAAGTGTTTAGAGGGAGTTTCGCTTTGACTAGTTAATACCGAAGCACCTTGCTTATTCGTACTGTAATCATTTCTTTTAGAATGCATGTAAGATTTATTTTGATAACCTTGATGGGAACTTTTGTTTCGTACTGATGTTTCATTTACATCAAAATTCTTAGAACGCGCTAACATCATTGATGTTTCCCTACATTCCACTTCCGTTTTCAAGAACAACGTTAGTAGTTCATTAACATCGAAATTTGTTTTATCACTTCTTTTCCTAGTGAATTCTAGAGTTAAATTCTCGGGTATTAACTTTAACAAAATAGGGGATAATAAATGTCCATAAGAACCACTAGTAACATTTAAAGGAATTTAAATTTCTTATTTGTATTTCTATATCGTCATAAAGCTTCCTTTCAAAGCAGCCGTATTTCCGGAATATTTTACAGGTTCTAAACTCAACAATTTATTCACATGCGCATTAATTAGCAGGTCATCTCTGCCGAAACGGTTTTTTAGTATATCAACAGCCACCGTATAGTTTTCACCTAGTAAATGTTAATCCACTGAATAGCATTTAATGCTAAACCTCCCAAAAGTAGCGATTTTAAATAACAAAACTTGTCAACCGAACTGAGACTTTCGTTTTGGTGAATGGAATTACTAAACTGATTCCAGAATTCAAGCCAAGAACAAGGATCACCGTAATATTTTGTAATCGTTAATTTTGGCAATTTTAAAGTATTAACTTCACAAGTTTTCAACTTCGGGGATATAGTTTCCTCACTAGAATTTCTAGATTCAACTTTAACACACGTTTTTTCTTAATTTTTCCTGAATTTTACATTTAAAACTTATAATTCTTTCCTGATATTCCTGCGCGGAAATTACTTCTGTTTCTAACTCCTGTTCCGTAATTATAAGTTTTTCAATCTCAGAATCGTATTGTTTTCAACAACTGCGATTTTTCAAGTAGCATTTCGAGTAATTCTTTTAATTTCTCATCCGCGGTTTCACCCTCTTCTAACAATGCAGAATCTATTTTACTCATCAACTTGGTAGTTAAGTTACGCGTCACCGTACGCAACTTCTTTGCCTTATTCATAGCCTCCATTTTACCATTAGATTCTATCAACTATAATAATCACCAAAGATTTTTATTCAACAATTCTATTCAAAACTAGAAAAATGAAAAAGGGCCCTACCTCGAATTTCTTTCTACGCGTTAAATCCTGGCTTTTCAGTCATGAACTCACTCAATTTTCTTCGTCCATTCTTCATCTCCACAATCAAGAAGTCCGGTGTCACCAGAAAAAATGTACGTATCCAAATGATCAGAAGGTTGTTGATGCGTGTTCCTTGATATATTGCACCAAGATATCTTACTGTACATTTATTTACAATTTATTTACAAGTCCGTATGCCACCTGGCATATTTACAAGCGTTATGCCTCCTGGCATGTACATGATAGACCATATTCTGCCACCTGGCATGTGAAATTGATACATCATATTAGTTTTCTGCCACCTGACAGATACGGATTCAATTACCTCAATTAGCGGTTATACGCCCGACATTTTGGCGTGTCCGCTTCCCTTACGTTCTGTAACGCAACTAACTTTTTGTGCGGTGCGCCCTCTGGGCACAAATCACCGCAATCACCGAGGAGGCCAAAACACTTACCTTAATATAATTTTCTTTTTATAACAATGCAGAGTTTTATAACTTTATGGATAAGTAAGAAGAAATTTGCTGAAATTTTTAAACTAAACATCAGTGAGAAATAGGTACATGAAACATGTTATGCCATACTACATGTTTTGCAAAAGTTTTAATATTTACTTACAGATGAACAAATATACAGATTTCAGAATATTTTACCATGATCCAAGGCATCCATAAGAAAATCTGCCAATTCTTCACAGCAGGCTGTAGAGTAATATGGCAACAATGGTAAATCTTCATTATTCATTAAGGTTTTCTTTACTATCTCAGAAGATACTCTGTTATACATGTTTCTAAAATATAAAAATACATTTCTTAAATTTATGCAGGTGTTTAGATATTAGAAAATATACTTCTAAAACAAACTTAAATTGTTTACCTTCTATTCTGGAAAACTCTTGAGTAATTAATTCTTTCCAGTATATCTTCAATAGAGTAGTGCTCATGTTTCTTCCATCTAAGAAATACAACAGTAAGAAAATATCTATTCAAGTATAAATAATATAATGATGTTCTGTTTGTAAATAAGAATACACCAAAAATGAGGTTTGTATTATAATGTATTTCATAATTTATCAATCTCTCCAAATGATAATTTTAACTCGTTAACTGCTGAGGACTTATATATACTATCATCTGCTTCCGAAATACTATCATCTGCTACAAGTAAAATTATTTGCAAAGCTTTGCAATGCAATACCACAATGACCTTGATGAGTATAATATTTTAGAGCAGCGAGGAGGAAGAATTGGAGACGGGAATGTTTCTGAAACGGTAAAGGTAAACACGAGCATAACCTCGTGTTTCTGCTCAAGTAAAACGTATTTTTTTATTCTGCGTCTTCCATTTTCATTTACTGTTAGTAGTAGGCCCTATTTTTAGGAATATGTCTGACACTGATGACAGTAAAACATATGATAACTTTCCGTCATCTTCAGGATTGGACCCCTCAGAATATCGATTACGTCAGATAGAGGTTTGTGACTTTTCTCTGAAAGATGCTCAAAGATGAGTTCAACTTGATATGAAATACTTGCCTAGGACATCCAACCAATTAAGAGGAAATATAGTATGTTTTTTTAGGTGTACTAATTTTACATGGTATAGCACTGAAGCCTGATATTATACTTTACTGGTCTAAAAATAAATTGATCGAAACTCCAAAATTAAATCATTCTTGTTATCTTTTTTATTATACAAATACTATTTTTATTATGCTTACATCTTTTTTATTATACTATTACTCTAAACATTAAATTTTGTATTTTCATTTTTTCTTTTATTCTTTATTTTAAACAGTTTTTAGACAGCAAAACTTTCACTTTTCCCCTAATACATTGTATAAATACGCGTACCTGTGTAAAAAACAGTGGCACTGGGGAGTGAATCTTGTTAGTTTTCCATGGCAGTTAAGGGATTAAATAACTAACAACATACCCTTTCTTTATTTGAAGAAGAAAAGAAAGGAAAATTTTATATGAAACACAAAACATAAGACAAACTCGCAGAATTACTAAGGAAAAAGCCAAATATGAGAAAGAAAGGGGAAAAAAGCTAATACTGAAAAGTGCAAAATAATTCACATAACAATAAAGAATGCGATATTATGTTATATACCAAACAGATCCTTTCTGAAATACACTGTAACTGTTTGTTCTTGACCAATATATATATATATATATATATATATATATATACTTGATATGGACTGCTTTTTTTCACATTAAAGTCAATGTAAAATAAAATTTTAATGCTTCTTTGAAACATATAATATATAGTTATTAATGTTTATTATATATATAATAAACATTGATAATTATAAGTATAGTTAATTAATGTTATTATATCAATATTTAATATACAGGGTAGTTATAATTAAGTTTCTACTTTGAAAAGGTCATAAAAGGAAAACTCCTGGATCAAATATTATCAAATTTGGTAATCATGTAAAAGAGGTCAAGGGAATTTATATCCTGGGGAAAAAATAAATAAATAAATAAATAAATAAATAAAATAAAATAAAAAATAAAAAAGGGGTCAAAAACTCACCACCAGGGGGGGAAATGGTGCTGTATGTAATATTGTTAAACAAAATAAGGGTCAGAATCTAACTTAACCTTTTGTTACATGGGTTTAACATGTTGTATAACCTTAAGAAACATTGACCTAAACAAAATTACCATTTAAGTGCGATAAAAGTCGAGCGCGCCATCCGTGTAACAGAGAAATTCGTCTTTGAAAACCTCAAATTAGTGATTAGAAAATGTGAGATAGCAAATCACTCGCAAAAATTTTCGCATTCCGGAAATCATTTTCTTACAGATCGCTAATTTGTGATTTTTGAAGCCTGAATTCAGTCGTAAGATATGAAGATATCAGTTTAAAATGTTTTTAATTATTTCTAAAATGAAACTGTTTGTGGGGTGAGGCAAAACCAAAATGGCTAGTAACTGGCTTACAACAAGAAGAAGTAAATGATTTATGCAAATAATCTAAACAATTTGGCGTAATTGAAAGATGCAATACTCATGTCCCTAGCATTCCTCTTGTTATGCTAAGAGATGCTGTTGAGAATGCAGTAATACGATATAGTTTGCTTTCGGAAAGTGGTGGAAGCAACATTGAACATGCTTTGTAACATGTTTCAGAAACAATTAAACACATTTTAAACCAATGTCTTCATATCTTATTTTGGTTAACAATACTGCACACAGTGCCATTTCTCCCCTGGTGGCGAGTTTTTGAGCTTTTTTTGTCATGGAAAATAAATTCCTATGACCACCTTTACAAGTTATTACAAGTTACCACGTTTGATAAAATTCAGTCCAGTAGTTTTCTTTTTATAACTATTTCAAAGAGGAACTTTAATTATAACCACTCTGTACAATTAACATGTAATACAATGCTTCTGCAATATATTTTCCCCCTGATTCTATTATCATTGCAACTTTGATATATATACAATAAAATTATAAAACAAAAGCATGTTAAAATTTATATATATAATAGTTCTTAATGAAAATTTATATTTTAAAACTCAATTGATGTATATATTAAATCAGATTGCAAGGTTTATCGTAAGTTTTTAACAGTTATCCTTAGTTAAAACTAATTTTCATTTCCTTCTTAATTTCAGCTTACAATTTCCTACCAGAATGTGTTTTTGGAATCGCGGTTAATGCAAATGAGTAAGAGCAGTATTTAAAGCTCCACTGACTTCGTTAGACAGCCAGAGATTCTGACTAGCGCTTCTTTGCCTTTTGACTACACTCTCTCTAAGCTATTATTCGCTTGGCCGTATTTATATTTAAAACTTTAGCAAAACTTTCGAAATGAAGAACTTGGGTAAAATAAAACAACGTTTAGGCATTAAGATTGAACAAAATGAAAATCTATCAATTAGCAAAGAAAATGAAAACATAGACAGAAATAAGTATCTGCGCTTTATCGGATTCTTAATTTACTTACCGTAATTTCCAAAAGAAAGGCCCCATCAGTGTAAACGGTGCACTCGAGAAAAATATTGAAAAAAAAAATTTAATTACGTAGAAATGCCGCATCAGTGTAAATACCGCAATAGATTAAATCACGTATGACATTGCCATGGACCGTATAGATGCAAAATCTTGACCTATGTCCTGATATATGACATATCAGTTAAGAAAACGCATCACATAAAACTATAATTCGAAAATAAATTACAGGTAAGAAATGTTGAAAATATATTTATGTTCATGAATATACTTATGTTTACCCACTAAAGAAGTCCATATTTGTCATACTCATACCATATTATAAAAAATGTTGTAACAACGAGATATTAAATTTGGATGAGAAAAGAAAATTTTAAATTTTACTTATAAAGGAATTACATCAAACTGTACATCAAATGAAGCCATCAAAGTCTGATTCTTCACTATCTGAATTCAAAAGATTTAGTAAATCCTGATCTAAGTCTTCCAGATTGTCACATTCATCCTCTTGGTTTACAGTATCTTTATCTGAGGATATAAGTTCAGCTTCTTTGAATGCTGCTATTGACGATGTTTTCACTGATTTCCATGCACTTCCTACCCACTTTGCAACTTCTTTATAAGATGTTCTATGCATTTTGATGCTTTTGGTATACGTATGCAATCTTTCACTCATCAAACACTACCACTGCTTTCGGACTTCATCTTTGAAGGATTTATTACCTAAAAAATCTAATGGTTGTAAGATTTTTGTCAAATCACCAGAAATTACTGCTATGGTCGTAGACGGTTTTTGACATCTGGTTTTCACTGACTCAAGTAAATGAACACACATGGAATCCATTACCAATAACCCTTTTGGTTGGAAAAATCTCTTATGACACTGCCAAACTTTTTGTAGCCACTCATGCATGATTGTTTCGCACATCCATCCATTCTCATTTGCACAAATAACTACGTCATTAGGAAAATGTCCCTTTGGAATAGTTTTTCTTTTAAAAACGATCATCGGCTTTAGCTTGTCACCGTTTGTAGCACAAGCTAACACACATGTAAATGACGTTTATTCATGTCTCGTCGTAAGAACAGATACAGTTTTTGCACCAGTTTTGTTACAGTTCTGTTTGCAGGAGAGTCGAAAGATAACGGTGTTTCATCCATATTTATTATCTGTGCTGGAAGAATTTTTTTTTTTTTTTTTTTGTCAATAATATCTGTCACATATTTTAGAAAAGATGTCTTTTTATCCTGCCAGTCCATTGGTAATTGTTGCCCGAATGTTGTTCTAGTATGCCCAGAAATATTTTTTCTTTTCATAAATCTGCTACACCAACAAGACCCTCCTTTGAAATCATTTATATTCATTTGTATTGATATAAATTTTGCTTGCAAGCGAATTTTTACAGTTGAAATTGCCATGCATTTACATTCGCTATTAAGAAGGTTATGTTTTTCGAGAAGGCAGCAGAATTAACTGTGTTGTATAAAAACAATCAAAGTACACAGCATTTGGTGAAAAATCCAGTTCATAACTCTCAAGAAAACACATTAATAATAATTTCAATTAGATCAGAGTGTTATATAACAAAACGGAAATTGAAATTAAGTATGTGTCTACAGCAGAAATGCCCATCGATATTTCACGGAAGAATCTAGGCAGGGAGAAACACAGAAAATGCATAATTCTATTAGATCTTGAACTTTAATTAATGAATACTTTTTGAAGTTCAAAAAGGGTTATCAGTCTTGAAATGGGATTCTGTGTTGGTTCACTATAAATTGCACACAACTTTTCAAATTGTTGTGACCAAATATTATTACCTGAATATTATAGACAAATGCAATATTAAGATAAGGATCAAATAATTGATCTATTTTAGTACAGCAATTTACAAAATGACAGAAACACTTTTATATGAAATTCAGATGCCAGAATTTTCTATACAGTACAAAGTTTGTAATCCTGACGTCCATAATCCGGAATGATCTATAATCCGGACCTCCTACAAACTTTATGCGCATGTGTAAACGCATAATGCATTTATGCATGCACGTTTAATGTATAACGGACAGTATAAGCTAGGTTAAAATTATCTAAGGCATTTCAGTTATTGTTGCAGATTGCACTGTTCCTTAATTTTCTATTTGGATCCGGCTTACTGTGTTTTGCAGACTGTTAGAACAATTTTATAAAAATTAAGCTTGAACTTTCGATTATGTCAAAAAGAGTTTCCAATTCTGGAGCTGCCAAAGGATCTACAAAGCGAAAGCATGTTTCGATGTCCATTAAACAAAAAGTGGAATTGCTGCAAAAAATGGATAAAGGCCTATCCGTCTCAAAATTATGCAAGAAGTATGGCATTGGAAAGTCCACTATATATGACACAAGAAAAAGGAACATTTTGAATTTTTTGTGGAAGCATCTTAAACAACTTACATTGAAAGAAATGTTTAATAAAGTAACCAAATAAATATTAAGCTTTTTCTAATAAATTTTGATACCCTTTAGATCATAATTATTCTTAATTTCATAAATTACGATTTCATATTTTTAATTGTATAATTTCTGCATGCCATCTTACCAGATTTTAATTGATGATCTATAATCTGGAAAAACCCCTAACCCAGAATCGCCAAAGTCCCAACGAGTCCGGATTACGGACTTTGTACTGTACTAGAGAAAACTTTAAATGCAAAAAAGCTTTAAATTCAAAAATACAAATTTATTGTGTAACTTGGTAGAAACTTAGTTTTATGAATCTTCTACAAAATAAATAAATAAATAATAAAAAAAATTGAGAAACTTTGCATTTATTTAAAGATCTGAATAAAATACATCTGTTTGTTTTCAGTAATATCCTCCAATTTTCAACAAGCTAATTCTAAATTAAATTTTTTAAAGTCCTGTTTAAAATACTTTAGTATAAAGTCTCATTTTCCTTTCATAACACAGAATGATTTTACATACCATGCTGACCTACATAGATACAGTTCTGAATTTAAAAATTCTTCAAGGGCAATTTTTTAAATATGCAGCATAGAAACCTAGTCATGCATGCATATATGTGTGGATAAATACATAAATAACTTCGACTGATACATGGAAAATGACTGATATGCAGCACATTCTAATCACTTGAATAATTAATATAAATAAGTACAATGCATATTCGAAATTACCTTTTCACTAATTCCAAAAATTCCTTAGAAGAAGGATCCTCACTATGGTATAAAGTAAGAGCTTCTACTATTGATAAATTAGTTGAATATAATTTTGCATTTAGTAAACGTCTTTCTTTTGAGCTCTAGAAAAGATAAACGAAGAAAGCTATGTAAGAAAGCTCTAGAGAAGAAGTATGTTTACAGATCTGAATGCATAAAGTCATACTTCTAATAATCAACAATGAACTAAATTATTTAAAAATTTAAAGATTCTATTCTCTTTCCCCTTATTAATTATAATTATACAATACATTCTCTTTCCCCATATTAATACATTATACAATACAATTAAAGTCAAAACATGATAGTATAATGTTAGGAACATGTAATTTGATATAAAAGTTTCGATTTCACCTCTTCCCATTCTCCAGTGTTACTTACCACTTGTCACAAATTCATGGTTTAGGATATATATATATATATATATACATAATTTATTTCCTAAACAGTATTGATTAATTGATTATATTATCTCCTAAGTTTAATTAAAGTAGAATTATTTTAAGAGAGTGAATCTATACTGGTAAGTTATATTTTGAAAGATGTTTTGAAGTAACTTGAAAGTAAAATGCTAATGTTTTAACGGGGACTGTAATTAAATCATCATGAAGAACAAAATTTCAATAGTAAAAGGAAAAATTAAATTAAAAAACATGTAATCATTATATATATATATATATACATTGCCCTCCAAAAGTTAAGGAACAGCATGTTTTTTGTGTCTTCTTTGAAAATGAAGCAACATAGAACCAAGAAATTTATAGGACATGTTCACTAAACAGTTCTTTAATGAATATGACATAGAATATTTCTAAAGTTCGACACAAATATGAATTACAACAAAAAATTGCATTCTTGGCCGAGAAATGAAGTCTTGGAGATACGGTATATCACAGTTTTTTGAGGGAAAATGGGGTGGCAACATTATGAAAATGGGTTCTAACAAAGAATGCATTCACCCTTAGCTGCAATACATTGGCGGCAGCGATATTCCATGTTGGCAATTAAGTTGTCAGTCAGTGAAATGGGAAGCAACGACCAGACACGGAGTAATCCTTGTTCAAGCTCATCCAACGACCTTGGAAAAAAGACTTTAAGCAGCAATCTGTCACTCAAGGTAATCCCAAAGATGCTTTATCAGATTCACGTCTGGGGATTGTGCTGGACATTCCATCCACTTCATACCGTGACCCTCAAGATATTCTTCAGCAACCCGAGCTCAGTGCAGTCGTGCATTGTCATCCATCAGAAGAAATCCAGGACCAATAGCAGCAGCATATGATCATGAGGCGGACATGTGATCATAAGGGCAGACATATTGACAAAGGATCTTGTTTTGATATCTCGTACCAGTCAAAGTTCCTCCATGGAACATATGCAGGGCAGTGTGACCACCGAGAGAGAGCCCAGTCAAACCATTATTCTACCACCTCTGTAACTGTGTCTTTCCATAATGTGGGACTGGTTGTATGTGGTGTGTTGTTCCCTCCAGATCTGCTGACAACCTGAATCAATTTCCAATGTGAACCTGGACTTGTCTGTGAAGAGAACAGATGCCCACTGTTGACTGGTCCAGGAGACATGTTTTGTTACCCACCATAAATGGGAACCTCTGTGTCCTCGGGTCGAGGGGACACAGACAACTGGTTGTCTTGCATACAGACTTGTATTGTGCAGGCATATATGCACTACAGTAGCTGAGATTCTTGTTCCTGTTGCCACTAAATGGTCTACCATAAGTTGATGTACAGTAATATTACTCCTCCTTTGGGCTGAAAGAGCTAAATAACAGTCTCCTGCAGGTGTTGTAACTCTAGGTCTGCCTGAAACATCTCTTCTAGACACAGAATTCTCGGATTCAAACTGATTCCACAGTTCGTGGACCACACTACAAGAGACAATGAGATGTCTAGCAGCATCAGCTTGTGAAATCCCTATTTCCATCCATCCGATCACCCGCCACCTCAACGAATCGGGCAAACGACTTCTTTTGGACATTGATAGACTCTCCTGCATATTGTCCATGAAGCTGTTATAACAACTGAAGATCAAAACTCGTGAACAAAAATTACAATTTTTGCATTTTGTTCTCCAACTCCTATATAAGTATTCATATTTCTATAAAATAAAAGTGGTAGCTATTGTTTTTGTATATATTTTCTTAAACTTCGTTACTGCTATGCATATGAACTGTGAATTTAAACATTACTGACATTTTTGTAATGGTGAGCTTTAAAAGCATGCTGTTCCTTAACTTCTGGAGGGCAGTGTATATATGTAAAATATAAAAAACAGGACGGCTTTGATCTATGCGAACCAGCAACCTTTAATTAACTTTCTGCAATTCAGGATCTTGTCCCTAGACCAGTACTTTCCAGAACATTCGAACCTATTACGTAACCGCTTCTATAAATAATGAAGTTGCGCCATTTCGCATCAGATTGCTTCTCTCCTCTTGTGCTACAACACTTTGCTGCTGCTTAATCCATATTTTCCTTTGTTAGAATAGTTATGATGTAGAAAGTATAAATTTAATCTTATTTAGTTTAAACTACTATTGAATATGTAATTTGGAAAATTTCATCTAAAATAAAAATGATCTGCGGTGAAAATTGGAATAAAGATAAGGAATAGTAAAAAGTGAAATCTTTCTGTGTCATCATTTCAGCCGTATTCCATTCAGCCAAGCAATGCCCGACTGCTAAAATATCACACATATATAGATACACTATTCAACAAAGAGTTGGCTATATATAACCACATTATAAAAATTTTTTTATAATGATATATCCTAATAGTTTAAATGATCTGTTGCTAATGCAAAGAAAATCTTCCCTGAAGCCATGTTTATTCAATGCAGCAATTTTAAAAGTAAAATTAATCATGAAAGAGCAAAATATTAATTTTATGCATTATTTGTTATATTTTTTAAAATCACATAATGTAAAGAATACTTGCAATTTATATCAAAAGATGGTAATAATCTTGCAAAATTACGATTGCATATTGAAGTTCAAAGGTTAATTGGAACTCTACAATTCCGTCATATTTTTTTAGCTTCAGTCAGAGAAGCAAGCATTTTTCTTTGCTACAAATAATATGACAAAAGAAAGTGTTACTTTCCCAAGTTATGATTAGCATATTTGACTGCAATTTTTGAAAGCTGAATTACTTAAGTTCATCAGAAGAGTATTAATTTTTATTATTATAGATATTAAGAATTTAACTTAATTATCAAAGAATTATACAAAATAAGTCAAACGTTCAACTAACTCTAGAAAAATTTCCCTCGAAAAAAATTAAATACTGAAATATGAATCAGCATCACCAATAAAAATTACAGTTTTTACTTGACACATCAGTTTCAATTGCACTTCCCAGGAAACAATTAAAAAAACTGGATCAGAAATGAAATTTCTTTAGATAAATGTAGCATTTATTTTCTTCTTCCTGAAGTAAAACAGCAATTCATTGACATTTCTTATGACCAAAATTTAAAAGATAATTTTAAAAATATCACTTTAATCAAATTCTACATTACTAAAAGACAGATTATAAAGACATTTCAAAAACGGCAATTACATCCTTTACTATTATTCTAATTCATGCACTTATATGATGCAGGATTTCATTCAACATTCCAAAAGCAAATATCAAATAAAACTAAAATTTATGTTTAAAACTTAATAATAATAAACCAGATATAAAGAAAATTTTTAATTAACAAGCACAAGCTAAACCATTCTGTTAACTGCATTTATTAATATTCAGATTTTCATTTTAAAGAAAATTTTAAAAAATGTAACTATGACTTAATTAGCTTTATAGTTTTGACTTTGCATAAAAGATATTCCCAAAATTTTAGCTTTGCTGTTAGAGAAATAAATTCAATACCAAGTCTTTAGTTCTGCATGAAAAAATTTAGAGCTACTGATCTGGTTTTCTACATCATTACAATAGAGTTCAACACTAAAATTTAATTAATGTATCCATAAAAAGTTTAAAGAAAATAATAGATTATTTTGTATTATTAAAACCATTCTTTACACCACAATTGCAAGTGAGCTTATAAAAAGTAATCTGGTGTGTTTATAAAAACTAAGCACCTAAAAATTAACTCACAATGAATAACAATGTTCATAAATTATATTCAAAACTATAATGTATGTCTCAAAATTACCAAGTTAGAATTCCAAATTTCATTTTCCTCAACTCCCAGGTGTTCTAGAAGGCTACTCCAAGGTTTATTACAGAAAAAACTACAGCTGAGATCTACTGGAGCCTGTAGAAGAAAATACTTTTAATAAACATTTTGAGTTCATGATAAAGGAAATCTGCATTATAAAAACATCAGTTCTGAGTGATTTTTATTTTTATAGAAAAAATGACTTTCCAAGCTTTAAAATAAATCCCTTTCCTTTACAGCTATTTTTTTTCCATTCATTTGTAAAGATTTATTTACTTTTAATTGATCAGTTATTTTATGTTCTCCTTTTCCATTTTACTGCCAGAATGCAAATTTTAGTTCACACATATTCAAATGAGGTAGAAAGAAATAGTATTTAAAGGAAGGTAAACATTTTGAGTTCATGATAAAGGAAATCTGCATTATAAAAACATGAGTTCTGAGTGATTTTTATTTTTATAGAAAAAATGACTTAAAATAGACTTTATAGAAAAAATGACTGACAAGCTTTAAAATAAATCCCTTTCCTTTACAGCTATTTTTTTCCATTCATTTGTAAAGATTTATTTACTTTTAATTGATCAGTTATTTTATGTTCTCCTTTTCCATTTTACTGCCAGAATGCAAATTTTAGTTCACACATATTCAAATGAGGTAGAAAGAAATAGTATTTAAAAGAAGGTTTTAGACTGTTGAATCAGAGCCTGTATTGTCTGCTAAAGGCCACATAACTACTGAAATCTTTTAGATAGTACTCTGTCTGGCGGTGTTATGTTATTCTTGCTATTAGGCTCATCACGCCAATATTAGTCTTGAGCCAGCTAGTGCATTATTCATTCAGCGTAGCCTTTGGCTACTTAGCTTTAATTTGAATTCATTACTTTTAAGTTACGCCATTAATATTAGCTGGTTTGTAAGCATAAAAAGTGCCTTCTGTTAAATTTTTCTGTGTTTAATAAGAGTCTTTTACACCCTTCATACATCTCTGTCTGTTTACTGGACATAGCGATAAGTTGCTTACATTCAGATTAGGTCCCAAGTTTAGTTCACACTTCCAAAGGTCAGACTTTACACTGAAATCTGAAGAATAATGTATTTAAAAAATTTTATGTTTAGTCTGGCCTCCTAAACATTGAAAGCTCCACTGGTTTCAGTGCACCCAATTATTATTATTTTTGGGTGCACTGTAGATCTACCTTCTCATGGTGCACCTGGTAACACTTTATAGTGGCTAAAAGATCTACAATTGGCATTATGTCTCCTCCCTTCTCGGATTGATACTCTTTGAGTGTTACAGTGGAATCCTTGCGGACTGTCCCAATCCAAGCGCGGAGTTTTTGCAGATTTTGTGTGAAAAGGACATTGATGTCTTTACTATCAGGGAAGCTAATTTGACTATCGAAAAACTAAAATACCATCCTTTTAAAGGATATTCTCTTCACGTACTTGATTTAACAGCTGATTTTTGTATCATAAATGAGATGGGTCAAGTTGATGGGGATAGGAGTGAAGTCATACATTTGGATGTCTGGAAATGAAGCTCATTAAAATTCTAGCTATATACAGCCCTCCTTGTAATCATCCTGACTTTTCCTATGTTAATCATTTAAAACAGTCTGTTTTTTTAGGAGATTTTAATGCTCATTCTCCCATTTGGGGATATACTGACACAAATGAAGCTGGAAGGAGTGTCCAGGACCTCTTCAGCTTGACTACATTCGTACTAATATATGATAAAAAGAATCCTCATACTTATCAGCATTATACTGGTAAAAGTACAACCCCTGATCTGTTGATGGTCACTGCTGACCATCAACATATCTTCTTTACAATCTCACAAAGTGAGTGAGTGAATGAGCGCCACCAAGGAAGACCACTGACCTGGCCTTAGCCTCACAGTGTGTTATCTTCCTGGCAGAAACCATCTACTCTCTGCTCCGGGAACGCAGCCGAATAGACGGCTAAGAGCCACATAAAGTCTACATATAAGCTTGGATGTTGTTGTACGAGGAAAGAGTATCCTGTTAGGAACTACTTAAAATTAAGCAAAGAAGCAATCAAAAGACTGTTAAGAATCGCTGTTAGAATAGACAGAAACTTGTGTTAATAAAGTAAAGATAGAAGGACTTTGCCTGAAAAATTAACTGCCGTGGATTTTTCTCTGGACTTGCTAAATATCTACATGCAGGTGCTTATCGTGACACAACCGTCATATCTTTATGGGCTTCTGTGAAATCGTTGGTCCTGCATGGAGGAAAGTTGTAACCTATTAAATTATTGCACATAGTAAACTTTAAAAAAAATAAATAAAATAAAAAAATAAAAAAATAATAAAGAGAGAGATTAAAAGATGATTAAAAAAAATCCTACTAGCGCCAAACATAATTTAACGCAGTTTACTTTCCATGTGCCTGACTCTTATGTAAGAACATTTTAAAAGATTGTGTACCTGTTATCACTAAGATAACAAATTCCTGCATAATTTAGTTCTTTGCGCATACTTAAAAAAACTGTAGTTGTTTTACAAATTGAACCATTCACCTACATTTTCTTTCGTAGTACTTGCAGACGGGATAATACATACATAAGTACAAAACTGAATATTAAAGTGAAAAACTAACATGATACTGAGTACAGAAATACAGAAAGCTGATCCCTAATGCGTGCATACATAAACACTTAAAAATGCATACATAATACATGAAACTAAAAATAAAACTGATAAGCATAATACATAAAACTGATCATTAAGTACTGCTATGTAGTCTAATAAATCCTAGCCAAGTACGAATTGACCTCATAGTACATGCTGAGAAGGAATAAATACAGACTTGAGTACTTTAAAGTGAACATAAACAGAAAAGTACAGCACCATACTCAGTAAAACTGATATCTGATTCCAAACACTTGAATACATAATGCTGATACATAATTACAAAGAGAAACTTACCTACATTAATTCCATAGTTAGTTTTATCACCTTAGAACATGCACATATTTATACAAAACATAATTAAGCACGTAATGCTGATCACTAGGGAAGAGATTCAAACATGCAATTGATCACATAAATACAGATATTTCTTCCCTAAAATTTGCATAAAAAGTTGAAATATTTATTAAAATTAAGAAGGCAAAAATGCCATACCAATAATAATATCATTCATAAACTTAAGGTGATAACATAAGTTGACCTTGCCCTTCTTGAACCTATTTTATCACAAACTTGTAATTTAAATACCGATTAGTAAGTGTAGGAAAAACTCATTGCTGTTGAAGATTTTACTGGCACGATCTGGTCTTGCGAGTCCTAGACCTGTACATTAATTGCAAAAGTAAAACATTATAAAGAATATAGGCAGGTTGTTGCCATAGTCCTAATTATCTAAGTTAGTCTTGGGTTGAGAGGTTCGAGGTGTGTGCCCAGATTGATTTAGTGTGATTTATACATTTTATGATTCAGAAGCGCTAAGCACTTGATTATTTTCTATTTGGGGACACTTATCGTCGTATTATAGAATACTTTCTTTGACAATGGCTGATTACCGGACTTGTAGCTTTTTATTTGCTGTTTTGTTTGTTCTCTCATATTTGCCCGCCCCATTGTGGCCAGTAAGCTTGACTTGGCTTTCTTATATGGTACTGTGCCGTGTTTTGTGCAGTGGAAGACATAGTGGTCTGGATCCTCCACCTCTCTCCACATTGACATTTTTTCTTTCTGTGTTCACTCAGGCTGAATCTATGCAGATAGGTCAGGAATGGGCCATGACCTGTATAAAACTGTGTGTCTGACTACCACTATTTTTGCAGCCGTTTAAACTCTAGCGTTGTTTTTGGGAAGAACATATACGTTCTCCTTCCTGTATCTGCCTGTGTGTCCCATCTGGCTTGCCATCTGTCTATCAGTTGTTTTAGAGTGATCTTTTTGAGATGAGACCTAGGTAATTTATCTGGCAGTTCTGTTCTTGAGACCTCCTTTGCCCGCTTCTTTTGCCAGGGTGTTGCTCCTCCTCATTGCCTTTAATAAATTGCCCACGTGAGCCGGAACCCACGTGAGGCATGGCCTTTCTGATGGTGGAAGACTGAGGAGGATTTCCTTTTTTCCTAATTTCTTGGACTTTGGACATAGTGGCTTCTCTACTTTTTGTAATTTTTGATTGTGTCAAGGCTAGAGGCAGAATCACTGTAAATAGTAATGTGGAGAAGTCTGTTCCTCTTCACATAATTAATTGCTGCTTTAAGTGCTGCCAGCTCAGCTTGGAATACTGAGTTCCTACTGCCAAGTCTTCTTTTCCATTTATACACAGCTGTATTACCTTTTAGAAATTAGAACGCAGAAGGCACTGCCAGTACCCGTCTCGGTTTTTTGAGCCATCTGTAAATATAGCTGTGTGGTTATTCTTTTGGTGTCACATAGTGGCCTAGAATACACCTTTTTTAGATGTGTTTCAGCCGGATGTCCTTGAGTCACTGGCTTGTGTTTTTCAAAGTCTTCAGCAAAGTGGTGTTTTTCCCATAGAACTCCATCCTCACCTAGCCTTAACAATCTTGCAATTAATGACATCCCTTTCCGCTTGCAGGTCTAGCGGAGGAATTCCTGCTAGAACCTGCAGAGCTTGTCGTTTGAAGTAGTTCTGTAGCCCTTGCAGATGAGCAAGAGTTGCAGCCTTTGCCATGGACAGAAGTAATCTACGCATGCTTACGTTGAGTGTATTTCCCCCAGATCGCTACGCCGTAGAGAACAATTCTTTCTGTTATTGCTTGGTACCACCTCTTAAGCACCCATGGTGGTGCTCCCCACTGCAGTCCTGTTGTGCGTAGCATTGTGTTTGTGAGTGCAATACATCTTTTCCTGAGTTCTTTTTTTTAAGTGGGGGAATCCAAGAGAGATTATTGTTGAGGATAAATCCTAGGTATTTTATGTTTTGAAGAGCATTTTATTGAGCTACCGTTGAGTCTAATGGTAGGATTTCTTTTCATTTTCATTACTCTTTTACTTTAACGCTTTTAAGCCCTATAAATAGCATGGTAGTTTTTTCTGCTGAGATCGTAAGTTTATGTGTTTGTGTCCACTCTAAGAACCTATTTAGTGCATT